ACTTATTTAGAGACCCATATTCGCAATCCTTGACCTAACCTCGCATAGTGCAGCAGAAAGAAAGAAAAGTAGGTTTCGCAGGGCACATCCTCGGAACGAAACGAATCCATCGGGATCTTCTTTCTCCAAATCGATTCGGTAGTCTCGGCTGTTTGCCTTCAGCTGTCTGTACCGTGTGTCGGGGATCATCACCGGATGATCCCCGAGCACGGAGGACACCGGAAGCACTTCATCGTTATTGATGAGATTCGGTGGGCTCACACACCTCGGATGGATTTGCCTGGGAAACGTCTATTTTACACTGTAATTCTTGTTATGAGAAGGGAGTGGATTTTTATCTTCGAATAAGTCATAAAATATGCACATAGATATACACTTAAAATTTCAAAACATACATGAAATATGCATGACAGTGCTATGCAAAAACATGCTTTTATAACTCAGAATTAATCCTTTGGATGAAGGAACTATAATGTACATTTCATTTCGTGGAGCCTCCCCTCCTTCCAGAATGGAGTAAGGGGAAGCTTGGAAATAAAATCGGTTCCTACTTTGCATAGTTGGTCTATCCTTGTAGATAAGATTCTTGGAATATTTTCGTTGCTGCTCAAATGAAAACACGTTTTCCAGGAAAAACTTTATTTTTTTCCCCCCCACAGAAAATGGGCGGGATATATGGAAAACATGCACATATATGCGTAAATATGCATCTGAGAGAAGCACAAAAATATGCATTTTATGTTTCTTTTTTATGGCATCAATCAATTCCTCAATTAATAAGACGTGCTCCTATCTGGGTTGCATGCTCCTGCGAGGCTGCAGAAAAAAAAATACGCATGTGCATTAATATCCTCTCCATGGTTATAAGGCAACATCGTGTCCAATAATCCTTTTTCTTGCTCGAGTTTTTTCCTGTACTACGACCGAGCAATGTAGCAAGAAGTTGGGATACCTTTACTCTTGGGGGCATCGCTAGCCATTTGAGAGGAAACACCCGATACGTTGAAGTGGAGCGAAGGTCAGTCGCAAGGCATTCCGCGAAAAATTGCAGGGATCACTGTCTACGCTGGTTTTACCTTAAATAAATCATTCAAGCTCCTGAAAAACCAATACTGAAAATTCTTTCATTTCCGTGAGGATAAAGTATCTGGAGGCATGCAGCCAAGTTCGCGGACAATGTGAATGCCAGTGGGGTGTGGATTTTCGATATTTTCGATAACAAAATGCCACTGGGCATCCCCTTTACGTGTCGTGTACATTGTTTCCGGGAGACCTGCTATCGTCATAAGATAGATGATGATTCTCTAATGGATTCGAAAAAATGGAAACAGAACATATTGATCGGGCTTGCCATGCCAGAACCCCTTAAACTGGGTGCAGAGAAATAAACGCGCCCCTATTCGAATTTGCATTTCAGGAAATCGGTCATTTCTTCTGTAATGCATGTTCTTTGATGCACGTGTCAAAGTCTTGCCTTCCATATAAACATTTATCTGAATTTTACTCCTGGTTTAGCCACAGAAGCATTTTTAGAAGTTCCAAGGAAGTTTTTTTTTTATGAAATCCCCTTCCGTTGTTAGCCTCACACCGAAAGAGGGAAGCCAATACATTTTCATCGTTTTCGCTCCGATCTGTCTTTCGTGTCAGTTTTGATCAAGCGGTTGTCTTATGCAGACAGAGCAGTATTAAAGCGGTTATTTCTGGACGAAAGTGTGCACTGATTTAATTAAAAGAGTGATTCTTGAATGGAAAGAGCAACTGAATGATGAACGACGGCGCAAGGCCGTCGTCCATCCCTTTCATTGAGTCTCCTTGGACGGGATTTACAGATACGAGAATATTTTGCGAGCAAGTTATAAAGCGCTTGTTTGTCTAAATCAGCCGACGGGAGATACTGAAAAAAAATTAGCATGATAGAAGACATGTACAGGGTATGGAAAAAAGGACCAACGACTTTCAACCCAAATATCTTCCCTCACAATAGAGCTATTTTCGCGAAACTTTCACTTTGCACATATGTTTCCAACTGATGCCTCAAAGTTGACCAAAATGTGTTAAGCCAAAGCAATACTATGAGCAATTATAGAAAAGAAGTTAGGTATTGAGAATGGAGAAGAGTTCCGACTGGTAGTGGAGTGGAGGAAACACTCAAGAGCCGTCGCTCCTGGTCATCGAGATCACGTCGAGCTCCTCCTCGTTTAAATTCACTCATTGGGCTGGTTACTTCTTCCAGACGGTTTTTATGAGCTTATACCCAACAAATAGTAGACGAATCAATGAATATCAATCTAGAGAGCTTTCTCAAAGTTCATTCGGAATTTCCCTTGTTTTTATTTATTTATAAGGAAGTCCTTTTGAAATGCCAGCCTTATCATAGACATAATATTGTTTGTGACTTTGATCGGAATTTATGAATTTTTGGAGCCTCGTTGACTTTCAAATAAATGAAACCATGCTACACCCTCAAAAAATTTGGCGATATATGACAAACATGATACATTCTAAGTTGTTGATCGTTTTTTTCATACCCTGCAGACTCAGGCTGACAAAACAAGAGAAATTATAAAAGAACGTTGAGAAAACTCGCTGGATTGATATTCATTGGGTATAAGCTCATGCAAACAATATGCAAGAGACAATCAGCCCCAAGAACGAATTTAAAAGGAGGCGGAGTTCGACGTGGTCTTAATGTTTTTTTTTTTACCTCTTTGCTTTGTCTTGCACATTTGAACGAGCCAAATTAAGAGGAATTCTCTCATCCAATCGAGTTTCACGAAAGAAGTCCATTAGGACCAAGAGAGTGGTTTACTCTCGATTTTCCTCTCGGAACTCGTGAGCACATGCTATCTTCCGTGTCTCATGAAAGTAGATCTCCGCTGACTGCTCGCCACTAATCCGTTTTCTACTCCTATTGCTTGCAAGGAGAAAAACGCTTTCGCATATGAAATTTTTTGTTTCACCAAAAACCAGGTTGAGACGGTGGGTCAGGTGTACATGGTGGTGGCAGGAGCACCGGAGAGATCGGAGCACCATGCCGGGAGTATAGCCCGGGTGTCTCAGGCCATGATCAAGGAATTTCTCAAACTCAAACGCTCCACCCAAGGCTACGAAAACGTGAACATCCGAATCGGTTCGTCATCCACTTTTTTAATGCCTCACGTGAGAGGAGCAGAGAGAGATGTGAACCAACGACATGAAAGAGATCATGGAATAGAGAATGTCAATGTCATCATGAGGAGGCTTTGACCCTCACTCAAGCTCACTTTCTCCCTCTCGCGCTCTCTCTGTATATAGGGGAGGGAACTTTCCTTTCTGCCCTTTCATATCTTTCTCTCCTTTCGGAGGAAGTTTCTCTTCCCTGCCTGATCCCGCTCTCTACCTCTCTATATAGTAATCGCGTCTTCCCGCTGCAACCTTCTTTGACCAAATAAGCCGTGAATAAAAGCGGATCAATCGTGATTGAATTCCTGTGTTCTCTTCTCTGCTCCGACCGAAATTGTTTCCTTCCCCGTAATTGACTTGTGTTAATTGATTGATTGATTCGTGGACTGTTTAGGCTTCAGCAGTGGAGCGGTGGTTGCCGGAGTGGTAGGATTGAAGATGCCTCGTTATTGCCTCTTTGGAGACACCGTGAACACTGCTTCTCGCATGGAGAGCACCTGTCTAGTAAGACACACCTCAGAACTTACATCCGCTTGCAGTACCTACCCTCTAGTGCCTTGGAATCGGAGAAATCAGATGGTATTATTTCGTTCCAATTTCAACGAGGCTTTCTGTGGAACATAACGATTCCAGGCGTTTCCCCATCAGTCATACCAATCCGATGTCGATTCACTAACAATAATCGTAGCTTCAGCCTTACTTCCTGATTGTGTTTTTTTTTTCCAATTACTTTGGGATATCTGACGGCACTTGGTCAGACGGAGTTGCAGCAGATGATCCATCGCAATTTGGCTTTACTACCCGGCTCACACCTTCAAAAAATGACAACAGGAAAAAAAATTGCCATTGCAACAATGAGCAATTGGAAATTGGAGTGATTTTCATGGACAAATCCATAAGCATAGCGTGGATGGAAAAAGTGGGGGTGCACAGGATCTCTGGAACACTATTAAGCATTTCATGAGTTTTTTCCTGATTTTTTTCCTTGCTTCCTTTCTCGAAAAGTGGGGGGGGGGGGGGGCCCCGGCGCTAAACCCC